ATGTTTTATGCATAAGCATAAGGAAATAGATAAACACATAAACCAAAGATATGTTGTTTGGTTGATCTTTTCAACCAAACAACAACAAAATTATAGTTCATTACAGGGACTATTTTTACTTACTTAAGTCACTGTATAGCACTTTAAAAGCACTTTTTGCACTTTATTAACAAGCAATTTATTTAGCACTGCACTTTAAGCAGAGATTTGCAAATAACAATTTGCTCACAAGAAGTTTTAGCTGTATTTATTGAGTATTTTTAGTAATTAGCATGTAGCCTTTTGTTCTGGGCTCTGCACAGCTGCTCCTCATTGAGAAGTGAGCTGGTTGCCTGTGAAAGGAGAATAATTGTTACTCAGAGCAATGAGCTACTGGTGGGTAAAACTGAGCAAATGTTTGTGCATAATCTGTTAGGTGTGGAGTGCTGATATTAAGTGACTCACCTGTCTTTTCTGTGTCCTCTCCAGGGTGTTTGGACAAATACTACCCCAGACACCATTTATAGGTTCCGGGAGAGGCCGTGGAAAAGTGTGGGGAGAGAATTGTTTATGGGTTTTTGTGGTGTTTCATTTGGTGTGTGATAAAATATAAAATATTTATAAAAAGTAAGTGGAAATGTTTGTATATAGTAAAAGGTATTTTATTTAAATATGTGGAGATTAGCAAATTGAGATCCCCCTGTGAATTAAAGGTGGCTTGGTCCATCACAGCTAGGACTAAGGTTATGAAATCGTTCTTGTTCTTCTACTTGATGCTGAGGGAAGAATAAACCACTGCTGTTTCCACCTGACTCTGGCTCAACTTTTCATCCTCACTGTAAAATCGAGCCACAAAAGGCTGCCTTGTTACACTTCCTCAGAAAATGGTCACTCCCAAACGTCCTTAAGCTTTAATTAAAAAACAACACCCACATATTTTCCAGGAGGCAAGAAACAAAACTGAAAGATGCTGCTTGGTGTGTCATAGTCAACGTCAATCTTTTTTTACAGAACTTAAAAACATGTTTGTATTAGTGATCTAAAGAATGCCCCTCTTTTCTTGTCATAGTTAAATGAGAATGAGCTAAATTATTTTGACTCATGTAATGTCTAATGTTTCTGCAAAAGGATGAGGAACCCAAACCCAGCTGGAACTGCTGCAGCATGGAGCTTTGGATCAGTTTCATTGGTGGAGGAAAATGCATTTTGTCCTGTAAACCACTAAAAAAAAACATGAACAACAACATTGCTTTTTGAAAACATACAATATGTTGTCTGCCAATAAATTGCCTTTACTCTTTTACAGTAAAACTATTTTTAAAATATTAAATCCTGTTTTTCACGGGACAGATTAAGGTATATTTTTATTTTTTTAAATAACTTTTCACAATTTAATTTAAACAATACACAGTTAAAAATTAAAAATAAGTAGACGCTGCAAATATTCTAAACATTTATTCAGCAATTTGGAGCTTCGTGTCTGAAGGAAAAGGTTTCAAACAATAAAGATCAAAGCTGCTGTCATAAAATGAAAGATCTTCATGGTGAGAAGCATCTCGCCTTAATTGCTTCCTGTTTGAATGAAGTTTCTTTTGTGCTTTATAACCTGTTTTTACTGACTAAAGGGCATGTCAGAAAAATATGAGGGTGTGGTTTGAATTTATTTTGTTTTTCTCGCCCTCCCATAAAGCTGGTCTACACTCGAACCCTGCAAATATGCAGTTGGTCTTAAAATTAGAGGGATGGATTTAAGGAAGCAAGATTTTTATATGTTTCTCATTAAATACAAAATGATCATCAATGAATGTTGTAGCCATGAACTTTCCAGAGAAGGCAGGGCGACTTTTTTAGTTTTTTAAAATTAAGACAGTGTGACATCTTGTGGTGCTGTGAACAGTGGGAATGGCTCCATTTTCAGATTAAACCAAAACAGATTCTGCATGAGGAAAAGGATTCATCATATCTAGAATAAAGATTTTATTGCTAATTTTGTGTAAATTGTTACATGTTTTAGAACCTGTTCCAAAACTGAGATTTTTTTGTATCTATAAAAAGTTGGATGTTGTTTTCTCCCACAGTTTTAAAACTTGATCTGTTGAATTATTTTGTTTAACTCAGTAGCACATCTTCTTGGTGCAGTGCTGAAGTCTGAAACTGTGATGAATGAGTCACACATTCCAGAAACCAGTAAGTCCTGATGACAAGTAAAAAGTAAAAGAGATACTAAACTTCATCAGAAAGCACTTGTGTTTTCTACGTATCGACGCCGCAGACAGACTGATGTAGACGGACAGATCAGAACAGAGAGAAGTCATAATGGGGAACAGGTAAGAGAAATATCTTTACAGTAGTATTTTAGTGATATTAAACCTGTTTACTTAAAATTGTGTTACTGAATAACTAGTATGTAATCAGATGAGAAAAGGGCTGATCAGTTCTACCTCAGTGTGCATGTAGGATTTACTGGATCATAACACCCAAAAGATAAAACGTATTTAAATATTTTAACTGTAAGTCAACAGAGAATGACTTAGAGTTAAATTATTAGTTGCTAAATTATTAGTTTCATTAATTTTTATGAAGATGTGAGATAAATCAAAGTTGTATTTATGCAGATCTGCACAACAGGGACCTCTGTTGTTCAGATGGATGAAAGGTTGCAGATGAATAATAATAATCAGATTATGTTGGGGACTCTAGTTTTTCCTGCACTACAAGGAAGTGTGACATGTTTAGTTGTCATGTCTCATTTCAGCTACAACATTATTGCACAGGAACCAAGAAACTCCTACTGAGAAATGAAATTATGTTACTTTGGTCTTCTACATGATTATCATTATTAATTGGGACTCTGATTCCAAGGTTCTCATTCTTCATGCACAACTTCTTGGCCCTTTGCACCTTTAACATGAGAACAAAAAGTGAAACTTCCTCACCATTTAATTAAGGGATGTGAGTAACATGACAGCAGTGCTCCCTTTAATAAGTGTCACTAAAAATACAAAACTGTGAAAGAAAAAACAAAATAAAACAAACAAAAAGACGATTTTCTCAATCTTTGCTTTTTGGTCACAATTAATTATTTTTTAAATTTTTAAATTATGAGACACAGAAAACCTGAGTAATAACAAAAATACATAAGATAAAATTAATTGATTTTTCAAGGAAAAAAAGTGTACAAAGCAGCAGCTATGCAAAAAGAAAATAATTTTTCTCCCTTGTTAGAACATGAATCAGTTGTGATTTACCAGGTTTTTAGAAATCTGAGTTCAGTTTGACCAGAAACACCGAACCAGGAAACCATTTAAAATATAAGCTGTGCCTCAATCTACAGAAATTATTCACAAAAGGATAACAGACAGTCGTTTACATCTGTTACTTACAAAGTGATTTATTTGGTTTTCAGATTTTACTACAACCACAATATGAGTCATTATCCACTAATGAATAAACGAAGCAACAAGAGTTACTGGCATGATACAATTATACCAAGAGCAAATAGATAACGAATAGAGGAGGTTACAAAAAGCACATAAGAACAACTGAAGTGCTGGAGGCCACATTTACCTCTGTAAAGGTCAAAGTTCACGACTCTAATGTGCAAAAAAAGATGAGACAAAATGACATAAATGGGAGGATTAATGGGGGAAAACAAAAGCTGACTAAAAACATTCACTTACAAATGTCTTAAAATATCTCAAAATATTAAAATATAATCATCTTTGTGAAAGATGTGTCTCATTGCATCTGGGATAAAACAAGCAAAGCATTTGATTAAAAACAACATGATACCAACAATAAAATATAATGGTGAAGCCGTGAGGGCCTGGGTTTCTGGACAACCTGCTGCTTCCCACAAAATAGACCAACATAAGGACAGAATCAAGATTTTTGGAAGTGATGCATGCAAAATCTATAGAAAGTTTTTGTAATGCACTGGATTGACAAAATTAACAGCTTGAAAATAACACAGATTTATACATTTGTATGTCTGCTTTAGAATTATGTTTTATGCTAAATCTATTCATTTTTTCCTCTATAGGCTGTGTAAGGAAACGTCGGAAAAGCCAAAAAAGTCAACAAAGCCGAAAAAGCCGAAAAAATCGAAAAAATCGAAACGATCTCAAAAAGTTGAGGAAGACAGAATAAGGTAAGCTGAAGACTCCAGATGCTGAGTGGTCACCTTAATTGTTTAAGTTGTGTAAAAAATCCTTTTGAAAATTACATAATATACCATGCAATGAAAAAGTGTTTGTCCACGTAGATGTTTCATCTTTTTTTTCTTTTATGTCACACTGAAATGTTTCATATCATTAAATAACATTATTATTGAATAAAGACCTGAGTAAATATAAAACGGAAATGGAAAATTATTATTTCATTCATTAAACAAAAAAGATATTAATTCCAATCTGGTCCTTTGGCTGCCCCCAATAAAACCATAAACTATATGTGATTAAACTATTTTTTTCAGAAAGTTTAGCTCAGCTTCACATGGCATAGAGAGAACATCTCTAAGGACCAAATGATCTGAAAAAGTTACAAATCATCTAAAAAACACAATCAGTAGAAAACATCTTTCAGGAGACAAACAGAGTTTTTATGGCATTGAATTTATCAATGTTTAACTCCAGGATGCAATATAAACTTATAGTTCTGTTCTAAAGTCTGGTAAAATAGTGAAGAATGCAACAAAAAGGCAATTTGGTAAAATGCAGTGAAACAGTCAGGTGTCACTGCATTCTGCATTTTTTGTGAAGAAAATTATTTCTCAACAAATAAAATTCCCATTAAAAATGCTTAAAATGTTAAAGGGAAAGAAGGAATGGAGGGTTAGGAGGCACAGGTGAAAATGTTGTTTTACCACAAATTGGACTATTTAGAGTTGTGGAAGTGAAGAGAATGTGAGATGGTAAAGTTCATGTAGGGCTGGACGAGGACACAAAATTGGCATTGTTCATTCATGGTCCATTATTGGAGAAATGAAGACTTTACTACATTTTCATACATGTTTCAAATTTTCATAATTTCAAATTGGTGGGATTAAAGTCTTTTGCTACTATAGTAATACTTTTATAATGGTGGAAATGTTCATCCTGTGATTTTTTGACAGTCTTAGGTCTTCTGGTGAAAATGAACTTCAGCAGACAAAGTAAGTTGTTCAATCAATCTATAATCTCATAACAATGTGATTGGAAATTAATTGACCAGAATATATAACATACATTTAAGTTTTAAGTGCAATACCAGTACTTCAGGATATGTACTATTTGTCTCACATTAGAAATATTCACACATTTTATTCTTCACTCTTTAGAGCTGCCCTCGAACAAAAAGAAAAGGAGCTTGAATCAGTTAATAAAAGGTATTTTTCACACAACAAGCTAACAGAACATGTTTCAGCCTCAGATATTAGGATGCCAAGTGTAACATTTATTCTAACTTTGCTTATTTAATCATCATAAAAGAAGTTTAATGTAATACAAGGTGTCTGATGTTTCTGCTGAATCTATTTATGAAGAACATATTCTGTTATGTCTTTAACTCAGACTGTCTGAGACAGAAACAACTCATGAAAAGAAGATCCAGGAGATCAAGTCAGTATTATTCAGTGTCTTCAATGATTTTATTACTTAAAACATAGACCTCTGTTCCTCAATGTTCATATAAAATTTAGCTGAGATGACATTTAATACAATTATTTCTCAATATTTTAATTGTTAATTTTCACCTCTGCAGAGAAACTTTAGAAGAAAAGGAAAAAGAAGTGGAAGCAGCCAATGAAAGGTAATTCTAGGAAGCTACAAAAGATATTGGTAAAAAAAAATTACTTCTGACTTTCTAAATTCATCTTAAATTAAAATAGTCTTAATTTTACTTCTGAAATTCTGAAGCACACTAGAATCCTGTTGAACTTCTGCAGTTTGTATGTGTTATAAGTTTGTATCTGTCATATTTTAAAACAGATTGACGGAGACAAAATCATCCCATGAAAATGAGCTCCAGGCGATGAGGTATTTTTGTTTTTACATGGGACCATGACTGGAATATATTTACTGATCATAGAGTTTAAGTTTACATGATCGTAAAACTCTTGCGGTTTTATATAAACCTTATATAACTTAATCACATTTCCTTTTGAAATATGCCTTCTTTCAGTTGAGGTTGGGTTGAAATAAACATGCAGTATACTTAAGCACTTTGTAGTTTCGTCAATTGACAAAATGGCACTTGTGATTTATAATTTGTCTCAAAATAATGATAAAAGATTTTCACTCATTCTATTCATCGTTCAGATCTGAACTTAAACAAAAACAAGATGAACTGGACTCAGCCAATCAAAGGTATTGTTCCCACAATCTGCGATAACAAATTATGATCCAAGTAAAGATTTCTGAGAGTCTCAGTTCTATGATTTCACTCCCCAAACTATTCTGGTATCTTTACTGCAGACTGACTGAAATGAAGACGTCGCATGAGAAGGAGCTTCATGAGATTAGGTACGTATCCATATTGTCAATATGATGTCATCACAGAGTCAATACCTTAATAGTAAATTATTCACTGACGCATCTCCTTTACACATGATGTCCTCATTTATAGATCTGATCTTAGAAAAAATGAAGAGGAACTGAAATCAGTCAAACAAAGGTACGGCACAAATGTAGCATATTTCCAGCATAAACATATGTATAACAGCATAAATAAGATATAGTTCAGGGATTCGACTGAAGGACAACCTTAATGAATCTATTCATAGATAATGTCACCCTGTTCACATAAAAGTTAATAATTTTGCAGAATCTATTGTGAAGAGTTTTTGAATGCTATATTTTTAACACAGATTGACTCAAACACAGACCTTGCATGAAAGTGACCTCGAACAAATCAGGTTAGTGTTTTGTGAGTCAGCTTTCTGATGAGCCCAATACTAAATCACCAAATTAACAATGTTAATTGTTGAATGTTGAGCAAAGTTATGATCTTTAGATGTGTAATGTCCATGGATTTGGTTCTTAACATTTCACATGGAAATTAGCCATTAGTGAGATTTACAAACACTTGTGACCCCAACTATAAGTGCAACTTGTTAAGACACTGATTACTTTGCTGTGAGTGCTCACAGTCATCTCCAACAGAGAGGATAGTTTCTTGCTTAAAACAGTAGATGCTAATTCCTGATCTTTCTGAAGCCTTCTGTTGGCATCTTCAGGAAAGCTCATAGAAAACTATCTGGTTTATTATTTCCTCCTATTTATCAGAAATTGAATAATGGCTGTTTTTATGAAATTGTGTACCGTATTTTCCGCACTATAAGGCGCACCTTCAACGAATGGCCTATCTAAACAGATAGTGTTGTTGCGCAGCACCCCCTCCCCTCTTCTCTCTCTCTCTCTACTTCCCTTCTCAGAGGAGGGAGATGTGCTACCAGCTCTCCGTCTAACGGGTGAATTGAGTTTCCTAAGTCTGCTGGGATTTACCCTATCCAGAACTGAAGTAAATTCTGCTCAAGCTGGCATCGAGAAAGACTAGCCTGGTTTCTAATGACCTCCATCCAGATGTCCCACCCTTTTTCACCCTGTGAATTAGCCAGATAGAGCAGCCCGCAACCAACTAGTTTCACAGAGCACACCTGTTAACGGTCGCTCTTTCTCTTTATTACAACTTGCACTTGTTACTGAACCAGGTAGGTTTTAGTGACTCTGGTGAGTCCCAAGGGTGTTGTTTAGGCTAAAGCAACCTATAAAACATTTTCCACTTTCTCCTCCCAGAATCAAACTTCATAGCTGCTTTATGACCATCAAAGAACTTTAAGGTGACTCATTAACTGAATGTCCACATCTTTTAGATTTTCTTGATGCTAATTATTTTATTAGTAAGGCAATTTTGCAAGGGTCAGTACAGCTTAAATCAGTAACAGAGATAATCAAACAAGTAAAATCAATAATCTAGCCTATCTTTCCCTAATGCTGACACTGTGAACTAAAAAAGGGAAACTTTGAGAGAAACAGACGGAGTTTGGCATCTTGAACCCCAGAACTGGCCTGATGATGAAAAAGGTGTTGCAGCAGCAGGAGGCTCCCAGTACAGGAAGAGTACTGAGTCAGAGCGGCAGATCTCGGGCCTCAGGGTGACTTCCTCATGCGCGTAGCGGTCCTCAGCTTCTTGTCTTGCAGCTCTGTAGCTCCTTTCTCCTCGTCTCACGATCTTTCTGGTCCTTGGAGATGTAGATGAGCTGGTCTCATGGAAGGAACACACCAGTTCTTCCTCTTTGCCTTTGTTCTTTGCCTTTGTCTTTATCTTCATCTTTGCCTTGGTCTTTGTCTTTGGGGTCTCGAACCCAGCTGAGAAAAGTGCAATTTGAAGCCACATGTTGCGGGGCTAACGGGTTGGTCCCCATGTGCAGAACAGTCTTCGGCTCTGTGGCTCCGGCTCTTCTTCAGCTGCAGAGTTCTTTGTCCATCTCGATCTTGGCTCGAAGCTGCCTGAAGGATCCAACCAAAGATTCCTCTTTTGCACTCACCTTATAAAGGGTTTATCCACCCTTTTGGTGCATTTGCATTGGCTAGCTTTGTTGCTGTGCCTCTCATTGGCCGACTACTTGGACAGATGATCTCATATCCATCACCGTCTTGGAGACATTATGACCTGATCTCTGTTCTAATGACCCCCGAGTTGCTCAACAGTCCTCCTATGTCTGTTGCCAGGACACAATAACAACCAGATTAATATTATTACAGTCTGACTCTACTGTTGGGTCTTGATGTCACCTGTGTAATTAATCAGTTTTAAAGGTAACTTTATTCATTGTTTTTATTAAACTAAAATCTCCAGCATGGGGAAGTGGGATGAGCTCCTTTTCTCAACAATAGGTCAGTCAAACGTTATTAACTCAAACTTTATTAACTCAAACTTTATTAACTCAAACTTTATTAACTCAAACTTTATTAACAAACCAGCGTTCTGACAACTATCCCAGCATGCACCACGCGCTTCTTCTTCTACGGGCAAAAATGAAGTCGGCGGCTGCTTACCTGTTGCTAGACCTGTTGTGGCTCAATATTGGTCCATATATAAGGCGCACTGGATTATAAGGTGCACGGTCGGCTTTTGAGGAAATTGAAGGTTTTTAGATGCTCCTTATAGTGTGGAAAATACGGTACTTTCCTGTTCTGACCCAGTGTAGCTGTTTGGAACAAACCGATCTCTAACCAATGCCTTAGGTAGATTTTACAACAAAAACATTTGAACAAATCTTAAAGGAGAACCTTGCTTTTACTGGTCGTTGAACAGTTTCTGTAGTCATATGTTTGAAACCTATTTATTGGCTCCATTTGTGAAGTGTTTCGAGTGAAAGTGCAGTAAGTGTGAGGATTTAGTTGTTAACCATGAACAGGTGGATTGCTCCTGTAGTACACGGGTGAGATCATATCTCAAACTGAACAGTTTGAACATCTTGAACAGTGAAGGAGAGGTTTATGCATCTGGTTTCCTTCTTATTGTCAGTTTTTACTGTCTTGACATGGTACCAGATAAGTTACAGATGGGACTCCAAATAGGGAATTCAACTTCTGATTGTAGGCGCAAGGAAGTAACCTGTATTAAATGTCAAAATGTACCGACTTTGTTTTAATTAATACATAGCATTTACATATAAATTTATGGTGAAAACTTTTTTGTCACAGATCTGCCCTGGAGCAGACAGGAAATGAACTAAAAGCAGCTGATCAAAGGTACGTCAATAAAATACAGATGAAGATATTACAATTCATAGTTTTACAACTGTTGGCTGGTTGGTTAACATTAAGAAAAAGCATTGAAAAAAATACATGTGTGATGTGTTTTCATGTCATATTTTCAACAGACTTAATGAAACAAAAACGTCATATGAAAACAAACTTCTTCAGGCAGGGTGTGTAAAGGTCATGAATCCAACATTCGTTTCTGCTGGAAACTTATAATATCTACTAAAATTTGACATAGACAGCATGAGTTCATGGAAAGATTTATGAAGTGGATATTCAACCTTTAGCTTAAAATAACACTGTTGTCTTTGACATATCTCCCTTAACTCTTTACAGATCTGAGTTGAAGCAAAAAGAAGAACTGAATTCAGCTCTTCAAAAGTATGGCTCAAAAACCTAACATAATAGAGTATAAAATAGTTTAATTCAGAATGTTTAAGTACACCTGATAGTTTGTTTCTGAAGTGGAATTTGAAAACACAAATTTGAAGTTTATTTTTATCTTTTATGTTTTACATAGGCTGATTGAAGCAAAGACGTCTGATGAAAATAAACTTCAAAGTGCGAGGTAAACCTTTTCTAAAAAGGGTAACTTCAGAATAAAAGATTGATCAAGTCTTTTAGCATGTGAATGAGTTAGATATGTGCTATTTTTCTGTATTCACAGCATTTTAACTTGCAGGCTAGTCAGGAAATGAGAAGTACATCTGATGTCAGCCAGTCAAAGATACTTTGATGTTGCAGTTTATAATACATTAGGGTTCAACTCATCGTTCTTCCAGTTTGACATGTGGAAAGTTTAATAGTTTCGATGACCTGGAAATAGTTAAAAAAATAATGCAACTCAGCAGTTTTTTCCTTTGATTAGAAAGTCAGTCTGTTATAAATTTCTCTGTTTTAACAGCCTGCCTGAAATACAGAGTAATTATGTAGCTGAGCTCCAGCAGACGAGGTACGATTTGTTTCTGTATCTATTTTAGCTTTGAATAATGACTGAAGAACATTTTATTTAATGAACATTGATCAAAAGAACACATTTTTATTATTTCTTTTTAAAAACATGTTATAAAGCATTAGAAGAATCTACATTAGTAAATAAAAGGCATTGCAGTTAACATTATTAATCTGCATGTCAGTATTTTTTGAGTTACTTGTGTTTATTAAAAATAAAACATTGACAGTAACAATAAACTAGATGGCAATTTGCTAATGATGTTAATTTGAAAAGAAAAAAAATAATGGTTGAATCAAAGATTTACTCTTATTTCCACACAGCCTCATTGCTGAAAAAATGTCTCTGGAAGCAGATCTTTATGATGTGAGGTAAAATCTACCTAACTAAACACAATGATGAAGCACAAACTTTTTCTTGATTTGATGAAGAAACTCGGAACATTCTGATTTATTTACTGACATGTTTCTAATGCAAATAATTTCACCCTTTATAGATCTGCTCTAAAACAGAAAGAAGAAGAACTGATATCAGTCAATGAAAGGTATTTTCTTCTCACAAAAACCTGAAATAACAAATTACAATATGAGATACAAACCTGATTGTTTCAGTTCATTTTACCGCAGAATCAATAAGAATATTTATCTATTGCCTCTTTATCACAGGCTGAACAATGAGCTCCAGACAGTCAGGTATTTTTCTACATATTTATTTTACTTGGACAATAACTAGAATGTATGGTTTTGGGTTGCAGTAAACAAACACATTGAGGATTTTCAGAAATTGTATTCTACATTCTCAGATCTTTGCTCAAAAATAAAGAAGAACTAGAATCAGCTAATAAAAGGTTTGTTCACACAACAATATAATGTTCTTGTTAAATCTGTGTCATGAAGATCATGATCTGTTATGTCTTTAACTCAGACTGACTGAGGAAAAGACTGTTCATGACAATGAGATCCAGAAGATCAGGTCAGTTTTCAGAGTCTGTATTTACAGGAGAGTTAAAGTGAGTTATTACTTTAAATGTCAATTAAACTTCCTAAAGGTTCAAAAATAATTTGTTAAAATGACATTTGGTCTCATAGTTTCTCCAACAATGTTTTAATGGTTAATATTCTCCTCTACAGGTCAACTTTAGGAGAAAAAGAAAAAGAATTGAAATCAGCCAATAAAAAGTAAAGAACACATCATATTCTACAATATTTTATTTCTTACTTTCTACATATTTAGGTATTTCATACATTTATTTTCGTAGAAATGTATGAAACACACTATAATGTTGTTCCTGCAGTATTTGTATCATGAGATTTAATCTGTCATGTTTTAAAATAGATTGACTGAAGCAAAAACATCCCATGATGATCAGCTCCAGAAAATGAGGTATTTTCTCTGTTTTTACATGAAATATATGAAAACACAGATATTTGTCTCAAAATGAGAGACAGCCATTTTTTCACATTTTATTGTTTTCATTCTACAGATCTGATCTTCAACAAAAAGAAGAAGAACTAAAATCAGTTAATAAAAGGTATTGTTCACACAAGTTAACAGAACATGTTTCAGCTCCAGATATCAGGGCGATAAATGTAAAAGTTCATCAAACAGTTTGTTTGTTTAGTGAAGATGAAAGAAGTTCAATGCTTTGAAAGATCTCTGATGTTCCTGCTGAATCTGTTTTATGAAGAAAATGATCTGTTATGTCTTTAACTCAGACTGACTGAGGCTCAGATTTCTCATGAAAATGAGATCAAGGAGATCAGGTCAGTTTTGTTAGGTTCTGTATTTAAATGAAACCATAATCCAAATGAGTTACTCATTAAAACGTACATTGCTGTTGCTGACAGTTCATATGAACTTTAGTTAAGATGACATATAATTATATTGTTTCTTGAAACATGTTTTTATGGTTAATTTTTGCCTCACAGATCAACTTTAGAAGAAAAAGAAAAAGAATTTAGATCAGCCAATGAAAGGTAATGCTAACAAGCTGATGGAAGACATGGCAGTTTAAAAATATTTTAATTCTATAAAATAGAGCAAGAGTGTTTTTTTTCCTAGAAAATTATGAAATGCTAACATAAGATTTTATCTGTCATTTTTTTAAAAATAGATTGACTGAATTGAATACATCCCATAATAATGAGCTCAAGAAGAAGAGGTATTTTCCTCCATATGTTTTTACATGAGATATTGACAAGAGAGATATTTGTCTCAGAATGAGAAAAAGCTTTTTTTTATTCTTCATTCTTCAGATCCGACCTTAAACAAAAAGAGAAAGAACTAGAATCAGTTCATAAAAGGTATTGTTCACACAAGTTGTATTTCATATCCAGATATCAGGATAAGTGGAAAAGTTCATCTAGCACTTTGCTTGTTTAGTGATGATGAAAGAAGTTCATGTTCCTGTTGAATCTGTTCATGAAGATCATGATCTGTTATGTCTTTAACTCAGACTGACTGAGACTCAGACTTCTCATGAGAAGGAGATCCAGAAGATCAGGTCAGTTTTGTTCAGGTTCTGTGTTTAAAACACATTGAGACAAAAACATAACATGACAATGAGCTCCAGAAGATAAGTTTTTTTTCTCGATTGTTTCCACATGGGATATTAACTAATTATGATAACAAATCACAGATTGTGAAAATATCAGTGATATTTACAATAAAGTATCAAAGTTTGTGTGAAGTCGTAGAAAGCTGAAACATCTTTTGCACATTTAATTTTAAAACAGGAAAAGAGAAGAAGAACTGAAGTCAGTCAATCAAAGGTATCATTCCCACAATCTGAAATAAAATATAAAAGTTTACATATTATTTTCATTCATCAGTTCTGGGATTTTACTTTGTAATCAAGTGTTTTATTCTGGTGTCTTTACCACAGACTGACTGACACAAACATAAATCTAGAAAATGAGCTTCAAAAAGTGAAGTAAGTGCAGAGTTGATTTTCAAATAACTCAATCGCATTGATTATTACTGATATGTGGAGAAGAGCTTGGATTACCTTCATGATCCTGAGGTCTACAGATTCAGAATTAGTTTCACAGAACCACCTTAGACTTGGTCTTTTGTCAGAAAGAAGTTATCTTTCTTGTGGAAATATATAAGTTAAATATGTAGTGCAATAGAGCACTTTGTAATTTTAAGAGCTCATTATGAATAAATGATCCTATTTACCATTTGTCTCAAAATAATATGGGATTTTCTCTCATGACATGATTAATTCTTCAGGTCTGACCTTACACAGAAAGAAGAAGAACTTAAATCAGAGATTAAAAGGTATTATTCACACATTAAGCTAACAGAACATGTTTCAGCTCCAGATTTTAGGATAATAAGTGTAAAAGTTAATCTAAGTTTGTTTAGAGATCATGAAAGATGTTCAATGCATTGCAAGTTGTCTGATGTTCCTATTGAACCTGTTTTATGAAGAACATGATCTGTTGCATCTTTAACTCAGACTGAGGCAAAAACATGTCATGAAAAGAAACTTCAGATTAGGATTTTTTGTTTTCACATGAGATTGTGATTAGAATATATTTACATATTATAGACCATCTAAATATTAGTGACATAACAAAATATTAAAGTTCTTGTGATCTCATAGAAATCTTAAATAAAGTTTGTGATATTTCATTTGAAAACAGGGAAAAAGAAGAACTGAATTCAGTCAATCAAAGGTATTCTTCCTAATGAATCTATAACGTATTACAATTTAAATATCATAATCTGAGAGTCTCAGATTATGAGACTCTCCTGTCTCTAGGATAGTCACTCTCAGACTTTCCTAGAACTCATCAGTTCTGGGATTTTACTCCAAGCCTTTGTAATTAAATGCTTTATTCTGGTATCTTTACCACAGTCTGACGGACACAAAGACATCTCTTGAAAATGTGTTGCACAAAATGAAGTAAGTGTTTTTCATAGTTGACTTTCATGTGAAAGTCATGTGTTTAGTTATTGAAATGTGGAGGAGATTCTACATGATCCTGAGGTCCAAGGATTCAGTCTTAGTTGCACATAATCATCTTGGAGTTTTCTGGTAATATATTGGTTACTCTGCTTTGTTGCAGTTGGTTTGAAGTTGCGGTAAACATTTAGTGTATTAAAACACTTTGTAATTTTGTTAAACGTCATTATGAATAAATCATCTTATTTCCTATTTGTCTCAAAATGACAATAAGGGATTTTCACACATTTAATCCTTTATTCTTTAGATCAGATCTTGAACAAAAAGAAGAACAACTACAGTCAGTTAATAAAAGGTTTGTTCACACAACTTGTTAACAGAACATGTTTCAGCTCCAGATATCAGGATGATAAGTGTAAAAGTTCATCTAACAGCTTGCTTGTTTAGTGATGATGAAAGAAGTTCAGTGTATTGCAAGTTCTCTGCTGTTCCTGTTAATCTGCTTGTTGAAGATCATGATCTCTTAAATCTTTAACTCAGACTGACTGAGGAAAAGACGATGCATGAAAAGGAGATCCAGGAGATCAGGTTAGTGTTGTTCTGGGTCTGAATTTCCTTGAGATTCTGATGTGGATGAGTTATTAATTAAAACATAAGTTGTTTGTCCTAAAAACTTATATGAACTTTAGCTAAGATGACAAATAATTGTATTATTTATTTTTCCTCTACAGAGTTTCTTTAGAAGAGAAAGAAAAAGAAGTGAAATCAGCCAATGAAAGGTATTGCTAAAAAAACATGACTCAAAACTATTTCAGTTCTGCCTAAAAACATACAATAGTTCTACTTTTACTAGGACATTATGGGACACGCTGCAATGCTGTGATCTTTCTGAAACATTTGTGTCATGAGGAATTTTTATCTGTTGTAATTTAAAACAGACTGACTGAAGCAAAAATATCCCAGGAAAATGAGCTCCAAAAGATGAGGTATTTTTCTCTATTTGTTTTTACGTGGGACATTAAATCTGGGGTACATAACTTTTTATAATTTTTTTTTTTTTTACATGTTTTTGAAATGGTCACCATGTCCTGACAGTAATATGAGTCAGATGATCTGTGGGGGAAAAAAATCAAGCTTCTCCCAGAGCTAATATAGCCGTCTGAAGAAACAAGATGAGAGCCAGGAATAATGTCTTAGTGTGGTCAATCAAGCTCGTGTATGCACTGCTCAATGTGCTTGTGGCAGAGAAACAATTTACTGTTCCAGAAAAAGTGTTTATGCACCGTCATCGGTTGCCATGATATCTAGCCTGAGTATTTATGGCAGCCTCTGCTGATGGGAGAAGCTGTAGCATCACAGAGAGAAAGAGTGAAGGAGAGTAAGCAGCATGTACATGAGGATGATTAATAGTGCTAAGACCCTCCTCTTGACTCCGATTGGTTGTTTCTGACCAAATGGCATATTTGTGCATTTGGCACTGGGAGCACTGGTGGCAACGCAGGAAGGAAGAGGAGCTCAGCTTTTTCACCTATTTTCTGTCTCAAACTATACTATCATTACACTGTATTCTTTATAAAGGTTACATATCTCAGCTTTAACTTACAAATGATTGCTTATCATAGGCTGTAGAAACTTGAGTAATGTCTGCATCACAACATCAAAGCTCTTGTGAGGTGATTTTTACCTTAAATATCTGTCTTATATTTGCTTTGGAAAAAGGAAGAAGATCTGGATCAGGGGTGGGCAATAAAGGTCCTGGAGGCCTGGTGTCCTGCAGCTCTTAGATGTATCTCTGGTCCAACACACTTGAATCCAACAGCTGAATCTCCTCCTCAGTGCAGTCAGGTTCTCCAGTCCTGCTAACAACCTCATTATTTGACTCAGGTGTGTTGAAGTTGAGACACATCTAAAAGCTGCAGGAGGCCGGCCCTTGAGGCCTGGAGCTGCCCATCCCTGATCTAGAGTCAATCAATCAAAGGTATCGTTCTCACAATCAGAAATAAAACATTACATTTTAAATGTTTTAATCAGAGAGTTTCACTTCATTCATTTCATCTGTGTTGGAATTTTACAAAATCTTTTTAATTAAAGGTTTTATTCTGAGATTTTTACAAATGAAACAAAAACATCACTTGAAAAAGAGTTCCAAAATGTGAGATAAAAATTCTTCACAATAAGTTTTCATATTACCCAATCGGGGATAATTTAAACGATCCAAGGATTTCTGCTGAATCTGTGTTTGAAGAACATGATCTGTTATAAATTTCTCTGTTTTAACAGCCTGCCTGAAATACAGAGTAATTATGTAGCTGAGCTCCAGCAGACGAGGTACGATTTGTTTCTGTAT